CCCATCCATCACCACTACATATAGCACCACCACTACTACCATCATCCGGAGATTTTACCTCATGAATAAACACAGTTTAGTAAATGGTCCCTCGAAATTACCTATCTCTGAAAATATTAGGGTGACAGCATGAGGCGAAGATCATCCTCACTAATTACACTACATCTTCACCATCAGTACTAGAAGCCAATGTTCCAACCTCATTATATATTGATTTTTTCTTCATCACTACATCATTTTGAAGTTCACCCTGTGTTGCTGCGTGAGTTGACCAAAAATTGCAATGGAAAAGTTTCTGAATTTGACAGTCGAAGATTCACGTTATCTTTACATTCAACAAGAGACGGGTTGGCAGCCTTCGCGGCCCGACACGAAGACTGGCGGCTGTCCAACCTGCGGTATACTATGACCGGGGACAGTTACATGACCATCTCGCTCAACTACGCTGACGTAGAAAAACTCCTCATGGTCTCCGTGTACAGGGCCCTGGACGCAGATACCTGTACTATGACTCGGCTCAGACTGTTGTTGACGAGTCCTTTCTGAAGCATATGGACCTTAACAAGATCCCCTGTCAGGACCTGACAATCGCTGACGCCTCTAATCAGAGGTATAACACCTGTGCGTACCACTTACGTGTTCCTAGGACTTTGTGACGTCCCGGTTTTACCACACCCTCATATAACCTGGCCCTACTGTACAAGTGATGGCCATCTCCTGCCACACAGCCGTAACTTCCGTCTTTAAAATGTTGACGGAATTTCCCCAACAAAATTATTATTTTGTTTGGAGCGACCCCGAGGTCGAGTCCATTGTCCCCACTGAGAGTCCCGAGGGGGAATCCATCGAAATAAACTGATCTTAAAACCTCGAGAAAAGCCATGCTACTATATGATCTTTCATGGTGAAGGAAAACTTGACCCCAAACTGGACCTCTGTACCTTGGTACAGTCCTTAAATGCGAACAAAATACTAAATTCCCTGAAGTTATTACAGGAGAAACTTAACCGGAGAAGCCATACAAGCTATCTACAGTAAAGTCAATAAAACAGTGCAGTATCATGTATCACACTCGACAGTCACTTCACTTCACAGCAATGAAAGAAATTCATCATGATTCGGTTACTAACAACGGATACTCTGTCACATTAATTATGGGGGCCTATGGCCTCCAAAACATAATCCCTGTTACTGCACAAAAAGAGAGTTGTAATGACAATGATATACTTTGAAAAAACAGACTACACAAACGAAAATTTGCTATAAATTGAATATTTTGTAATTCAAGATATTAACACCTACTGTTGTGCCCTCTTTGTTTATGGAATCTATCAATCAATTGCTTTGCTGGGTCAATTATTTTCAGTTCCAGAATAGTCAGAGATAAACCTTTAAGGCACCAACAGCTACTAAGACCACCCCACATGCGCTCCTCCCTCTCAGTCCCCACTCATAAATATCACTGGTGAAGGTGAACATCTTACCCCCACCCATCCGAGCAAAGACTACAATTCTTCTTTAAATCATCTCTTAAAAATATCTATTGTCTAAATATTAATATTTCTTTGTAAATCTATCTATATATATATATAAAAACAAAGAAGTATGTCTGTGTGTTTGTGTGTTTGTTTGTGTGTCCGCACGGAGAATCTCGACACTACTTTACCGATTCAGTGATGATGCAGGATGGTGTTATATGTAGCGATGATGGATGGTGTTAAATGAAGTGATGATGGATGATGTTATATGTGGTGATGATGGATGGTGTTATATGAAAAGATGATGGATGATGCTATATGTGGTATTATGGATGGTGTTATATGTAGTGATGATTAGATAACAAAATAACAGTTTAATGCTAAAAAAATATACTTTTGCTTGTGTGTGTGTGTGTGTGTGTGTGTGTGTGTGTGTGTGTGTTACAAAGTTAACAAATTGTCGTGAGAAACGTCCTCTCTGTTCTTAAACGACGTGATAACTTGTAACTTTACCGAAATGAAGTTTTTGTAAGTTGCATTTAGTTCATCAAAAATCATTGAACTTCCTGAATATCAAAGGTGCAGTGACGACAGCTTTTGGCTGTGTCAAACATTTTACAAAAATGTGGATTTTAGATTGTTTTTATGACACCATTAACAAGACCTGTACTATACTGCCAAGTTCTGAATTTTTCCTTGATTCCAGGTTGGAGTGTTGGAGGCGCGGTCACTATGAGACGGCGACGAGGGAGGCAGGAGGTGGTGGACGATGAGGAGGCCCTGCATATAAACCGGACCCATAAAAGAGATAAAGAGCAGCACTGGACAGTTTCACTCTAGCCTTCTGATATCTCACTAGCTGCTACCTCAGCCCTCCGCCCACGGTCATCCTCATCCGTGTAGAAAGTCCTCGTAGAACTGTTGCAAGTTATACAGTGATGACGGTATATCTGAAAACTGTGTGCCCATAATAGCATTGGATAGCTTATTTTGTAAACAGATCGCAGTGCCTTAGTAAAGAGTGTACAGTGTGAAGTTGTGGGTAGATAATTCAGAGCAACTTTGTGTTCAAGTAGTTCAATAGGCATACGCTAGATTTGTTACCTAAGGAGTGTGTAAGGGAAAAATATAGAATTTCGTTTCACCGTGACCATCTACCCCGGCCAACATGTGTGAGGGCTACCAGATTCGTTTCGACGTGGCCTTTAAGAAGGAGAACGACACTGTTATTACAATTCTGAAGCCTGTCATCACCAAGTGCCCTGAGGACCCGGGACCTATCATCGCCGGAGTCTTCCTCTCAATCATCTTCCTCGGAGCCTTCCTCCTCAACCTGATGGTGGTGGTGACGGTGGCCACCAGTTACACCCTCAAGAGGTTTCTCTACTGCCACCTCCTCATTAACCTCAGCCTCTCCTGCATGATAGACTGTTTCCTCAACCTGAGTATTGCCATCGGCTACGTCACCACCGCGCCTTGGAGGTTTGGCTACGGTGTGAGTTACTTTAATGGCTTTACGATAAACATGATGAATAGTGAGATGGCCTTCGCTGTATTACTGTTGGCTGTTGATAGATTAGCTGCAGCCAAGAAGTATACCTCATACCTCAACAGTGAGAAGTACAAATTGGGTGTAGTGATAGGTGTAACGTGGGTGGTGGCGTTTATTCTGGCCTCACCCCTGGTGTGTGGTTTCGTACTCAGTATGCCTTATAAAAACAGATACTCGTGTTCTGTCGCTGATCCAAGAGACGATTATTACCTCATTACGCACCTGTTACTGATCGTGTGTTTGCCAACGCTTGTGATGGTGGTGTTAGTGTGTGTGATCTCAGTGACATTCCACCGTGAGCGTAAAAAACAAAAGAGAATCAAAGGTAACCAAACGATGAGTTATTTCGACCAAATTTTGATGACTCCATACTTTAGAAACGAGTTCTATCCGTCAGTGTTTGTGATTTGTGCAGTGATAGCGTACGTTATGCTTTGGCTTCCCTTCACCGGTCTCACCACCATTAGCCCCATGATGACCAAACACTGGGCCAATGAGACGACCGAAGATTCTCCCGACGATGACTTCAGTCGCTTCTTGCCAACAACGAGGAGCAACTTCAGGGTGAGTCGGGCTATGGTGGACGCGACTCAACTGGAAGCTCTGAATAGCACCAACGCTACCTTGCCCTCCGACATGACGCCAGATATGACCAACATAACCATGGACGAAGGTTTTATCCCGGAGATAGTGGACACCCCAGCCTTCGATACCGTGGCCGTCTGGTTCCGCTTCATTTTCAACATTGTTGTGCCAATTTTAGTGTTTATCACTCTGAGGGAGGTGAGGACCAAGTGTGAGGCACTCATCATGTGCTGCAGACCTAACTCTGTGGACGTGGCCTCGCCCAAACCCTCACGTCCACCCTACATCAGCAGCCTACCCGGCACTGGGACTGCAGAGAAGAAGGCCGGGGACACCAAGTCACAGAAGAAACAAAAAAAAGACAACAAAAACACCATCAACTGCAAAACACCGATCCTCTTCTCGACCTCCGAGGGCCTTCACATCCGAACAATTGGGGATACTTACTTGGACATGAAGGAAAATAGATCATTGTTACCATTCAACCGACAAAACAATGATCAACCAAAGTTTGTGTACAACCTGTGTGATGTCATGCTCGGGTATGAAGATCTCACAGACTTCGACGGGCAGTTCCATATAGATGACAGCTACGACTTTGAGGGAGACCCAGAGGCTGAGAACCTGGGTAAAGGTAACGCCGTAGTCATCGGGGCACAGCGGGCCGCCTTGGGGCAGAAGGGACAAGGCCCTGCTGAGAGCAATGACGAGGAGGAAGGCACCAACTTCAATATTGACTACCGACCACCAACTCCACCCAAAGTTCAGGTCGTGGGCAACGACTCCGCTGTAAACTTCGGCAATGCCCTAGAGGCGGAGGATGTCAACAAGCATAAGAAAGGAAAGAAAGTTAGATTTGCAACTTTGCTGAATGAGGAGATTCCACGCCCACGCTCCGCTGAAAGTTCCATCCTCAACTCGTCCGCCAACAGCTCTCGTTCCACTGACTCTGGGATTATGGCTGATAACGAACGTAACTCTGCTCAACAAGACAATGAGAATCGGAAACCAAGATTGAATGTTAACAATCGACAACAAGCTGCCAAAAAACAGACCAACAAACCTGGAGTAAAGGCCCGCGCTACTCGGAAACCCCCGCCCCCCAAGAAGGTGGGGGCACCTTCCTCCAAAATTCCTTCCGGGCCCAAGACACCAAAGAAGGTTGTGTCCTCCAAAATTCGGAATATCAAGAGTCGTCACATGAATAATCTCAACTCCTCCCTCACGTCTCTGGAGAATAAATCACCGACGAGAGCCAGGAGGTTCTCCAAAGCCAGCACATAACTCTCCATGGCGAGTCCTCCACCCATGGTAGGTGACGTGTGGCCACTTGCTGATACAGATTTAGACCAAATAAAGGAACCATAATATATAATAACACATATCTACTAAAGACTAGTCACTCTAGGTCTAGTTTTCACATTCGCTTAGTAAACGAAATAAATAGCCATAATACATTATAAGATTTAAACACCGTCCTTAAATAAGGCGGTACATTTTGTTTATAACATTTAAAGTAAATGCACAAAGCGTTCTTTCTTTTAACGAGACTTTATCAAGATTTTGGCAATATTGGATACTGAACCAGCAAAAACATTTTAAGTCATTATGTTCCAGTGGTTATGATTTACTACAAAGAAAGTAATGTTAATGCAATGTTCGAATTTCTAGTTTTTCGAGTTAGATAAGTACAGTATAGATTAGTAATGTAACAACACAGGAACACACCAGTGGTGAATTAGGTATTCCTAACACAGCCCTAATACTTCTCTTTTGGAGATGTAATGAAGCAAGCATTATGATTGATTTCATTATTGAACCTCATAATAAAGAATCTTACGCTTATCAGAAGTGTTACCACAGTGCACTTATCATTAGCCAACTTGTTGTTATTAAAGTTTTAATCCAAATTATGAAATATGTATACGAGTTGTATATAAATCATACTAGACCTCCCCGAGCAGTACTGAACTTGGTCCCACGCCATGATTGATTCGAATTTTCCAGAAATCGGTATCATATTTAAAATCAATTGATCCCATTAGGCATCATGGGCCAGATAGCCCTCTAGTTACTTGTTACTGGGCCAGATAGCCCTCTAGTTACTTGTTACTGGGCCAGATAGCCCTCTAGTTACTTGTTACTGGGCCAGATAGCCCTCTAGTTACTTGTTACTAGATAGCCCTCTAGTTACTTGTTACTGGGCCAGATAGCCTCTAGTTACTTGTTACTGGGCCAGATAGCCCTCTAGTTACTTGTTACTGGGCCAGATAGCCCTCTAGTTACTTGTTACTGGGCCAGATAGCCCTCTAGTTACTTGTTACTGGGCCAGATAGCCCTCTAGTTACTTGTTACTGGGCCAGATAGCCCTCTAGTTACTTGTTACTGGGCCAGATAGCCCTCTAGTTACTTGTTACTGGGCCAGATAGCCCTCTAGTTACTTGTTACTGGGCCAGATAGCCCTCTAGTTGTTACTCGCCCCGCTGTATATAAAATCGATAGAGTATACTTAAACATCTCTCCCATCATGGATAAACTCCTTATCATCTATTCGCTAAACTAGCCATTCAGAACGTCAGGGTACTCTTCTGTAGATGATTGTCAAATACTCGGCGTCAGGTCAGAGGTCAGTAAGGTACTGTACCCTCACATTGAGAGACTGGCCACGGCCTCACCCTTATCCTCGATGCTGAGAAACTATGTAATTGTTAATTTTTTCATGTAGATATTGATATTACTCCAGGTGCTCTCTTCTTTCTTCTCATGTCTCGAGTCTGGTTTACAAACGAAGATCCCTCATTAAGAGATTATACGTGATAGATCTCCTAAATAAAGTAAAAGATGCTCAAAGCACAATGTTAGTTGCAGTGGCACAATAAAGAACATTTTGGTCTTTAATATATCTGTCTCCAAGTTACACCTATCAAGATGACTGTCCAGACTACTCAAACTAATTTCAATGTGTGTAATCTTGACATCCTATCGTTTTTCCGTGCAACTGTTCATTTCTGAGGCTGGCTTTTATATTAAAGTTTTTATGTTTTATCTTGAAGAGTTCACCAGTTACCTTGCGATTTAACAAACGAATCTTCAGTAATCGAAACACATTGCAACGAAGAAATCGCCTTGACAAAATGTTTTAAATTTATTTTGTTCCTACCTGAAGTACAGGATAAATACAGTAGTACTTGTAACGGATCCACAGCAGAACTAACACTCTGTTGGCTGGTTGTCGCAGGTGCATGTAAATGAGGGAAATTGTGCACAACTTAAGCAATATGAATACTGTATGCATTTATTTACTGCCTGAAGCTAGATATAGGTTAATTTACAACCATCATGTTTCAGTTCCTTTTTTGCAGCAGTCTTTTTAAAATGATTGTGTTCACTAGTTAGATGGAGGATGTGACTATATAATTAAGACAGTTGGTAGCTATTGTTGAGATGCGACGCTAACCGGACAAACGTCTGTCTGATTTACCTTAACAATACAGGTATTACTTGTGTTAGGTTTGGCGTAGAAGAATTTTAATTCTTTACCTTCACGTTTTTACTGCAGCAATTAAGTTAACGTCGTACCATTCAGACACATTAACACAAAAAGTATTAAAACAATTTCTTGAGAAGTACATTGTTTTAACATGATTAAAAATATTTTTGGCTGCTTCTTCAAATAGATCTAATATTATGTATGTGTGCTTCATATGGTACAGACCCAGAATAGAATGAAATTTGTCACTATTCGGCATAACACAAGAGGGCTCTTTAAGAACTCGGGTACACCTCTTTATTTCAGTAGTTGTCACATAGATTCCGTAAGTACACAATAAATAAATCAACAAAATATTGATTAATCAGCGTTTTTTGTGGAGTAATACCTGTACTTTTATCAGAGAAAATGGGTAAAATATGAGTTATAGAAAATGGGTAAGATTGCCATAAACGTTTGTATCAAGCATTGTGTTCTCGAAATGCAACGACGTGATAAATGATTTCAAAACAACATAAATTATATACTGCTGAAATCAGTATTCAAGGCATTTGATAACTCCACTGAAATGAGACTGATTCTGCTGATATTATGTATGACATTACAGTAATGTTGGTATAGGTATTTGTAAATTGTGATATTGACGAACAGAAAACGAAAATATTGATATAGGTGTTGAGTAAACCATTGATTCTCAGAAAAAGGAAGGCATCATTAAATTTAGCCTCCTCTTGTTTATAACCTGATATGAACCACTAGTGCTATCGGGCTGTGGGCCTACGGTGGCTAGCGGTTTCTATGTTAGTAGTAAATTTTAAACATTTAATCTGTGAAGTCAAGTGTTTTATTAACACAGCCGACCGTGGACATTGTTTCATTGTCAGTTATACTTATCTTTTTTTTTATATACAGTATATATAATTGTATCAGAAAGCATCCAGAGTCAATATGTGTTGAGTAATTAACCCTTCTTAGGCCACCTCAGTAAACTGTAACTTGTAAATGCTTCTCTGAGTTTTCTATAATATAATGAAATACGAACATTAACATAAGTATTACCTGGGACAGACGGTTTAATTAAGGAATTCTTTTAAGTGTGGCCGTAATGACCCAGGTGTTCACGGCCGGTAAATCAATTAAACAACATAGTAAGCAAGAAAGTAAACCAAATCGTTACCGGTATACTTCTTTAAAAAACACAAAGATATACCATGTGTAAGGTTGTTGTAATATTAGTGTTGCTTAAAACATTATCACTCATTTAGCAGGTTGTAAACTCGGTAATTGTGTTTGGTCTTGTTATCGTTGTTTACGCTTTTCTACAAATAATTTGCACTTCACATGATAGTCTGCTTATCACACATGAGGAAGGCATTATTAGCTTCCGTGTTGTTTATGTGAAGTGTGGACCTTGTTTGACTTATTTTTTTCATAAGACTAACTAATCATCACCAACAGAACGGTCAGTAACACATTATGATTTGTACAGTAGAAGTCATTATCAGTTTAGTGTTATAGTCTATATTCAAAAATTTACCCCAAAACATTGATACAAGTACATGTTAGGTGTAAATACAGCCATGGTATTTCCTCTACTGCGGTGTCCTGACCTAGATGTAGTGGAAAGATACCATCGTAAGTGACTGGTCAAGTAGAAGACGGGGGCAGCAGCAACACGGGATCCGCTTACCACATCAGGGTGTTTACAATTGTCTACCCTTTCCCCTCCACCTCACCTAAATATTATGAAGAGAATTGCTTTGATAAAATAAGGATAATAGCTGACATGCCTCCCTCTGCCTTTTCCCTTAAACTGAGCCATATAGATATTCTATCGCCTGAATTTGTTAAACTTAAATAATATTATGTCTATTAACCTTATACAGTCAGACAGGAACGACCTACGTGCAGGGCTGTATAACATCTTGAGGGGCATGGTTGTAAACATCGCTCACTTATTGTTCCCACAGAGAGCTAGGCTGAGCGCACATTCAGAATGTTACCTCACTCATCTATGACTATGAGAGACTTCCCCTCCCAAAAAGTGAATAACTATGAATTAAATTCTGTCTACGACTCTACATGAACAGACAATCCCGTCTTCGTTTACAGAAACAAAACCTACTGTTGTTTACTTTCACAAAATCACATCGGTAACTTATAAAAATATCATACAAATTGACTTCATTTAGTTTGTCGTAATTGGGCACGATTGGTTCAATAAATAAACGAGCATTTACTGGGCTGTAACCGTTAGAACAGAGAAGAGGCAAAAAACAATGTCCTCTACTATGAGAATAGCGTTTTTCTACAGGAACAATAAGTGTGGCGTCCACCTCTCCAGCTTACCTTTTATGGCATTATTATGTAAATGAATTATAATACAAAGTGTGACATTATACTGTGCAGTTTTTACCCTTGTATTTGTGTTTCAGGGAGGGGCGCTTGGTAGTTGCTAGGCGAGCGACTACGCCTTCCCCAGGGATGCACAAGCCGACTACCATACTTATTGAAGACTGAACACACTCTTACTGCCAGCGTTCCTACTCATGCAAGATGAATATATCTACTCTGTCCAGAAGAAACTATATACTGCGCCTTCGTCTTCATCTAGAATTTTCTCCATGTCTAATACTCCCATCACTCCGTCAGACGAACTCCCTTCACTCCATCCACAACACTTGTCACTCTGTCAAAACCCACTCCAGCCCTTAAACCATTGTTATGGTTCTCAGCACAACTATCCACCACTACAGTGACTCGCATCCACTGCCCTAAGTTTATCCATAATAATTTTGAGGAGAAAACTTGAATCCACGTGTGAAATACAGTAGTTTTATTTATTTTTTATTTGTGGATACTTATTTTATGTCTGAAATTGTGATATAATGTACAGTATAGATAAGGAGAATTATTACGCACACTGCTTCCGAGTATAAAATTATACTGAAATTCACGACGAAATCTGAAACGTATTGTCACCAACACAAGTTAACAGAAATCACAAGTCGGATTACTGTCATATGTGTGATAATAAGAATACTAGTAGATGACTTTATTGAAAAATTATATCAGTATAGTTAGGCGGACATCGAGGGTTGATTAACGAAACAACAAAAGAGACACCTACAAAGACACTCACAGAATTGAATTAAATGTGATAAGTAAATTGCATGTCTAACATATGTTTATATTTATAAGTATTTGTATATTTAATATGAATTTGGTTAGGGTAAATTGATTTAGTATTTACATTTTTGTGTTTAGTAAGCGAGTAATTTGAATGGGCTGACTGATTTCCTGTGTAAAGTTATTGTACTTTCTAGGACTTTACACTGCTGGTAACAGTATCTATCAGTCACCACAGATTATATCAATTAATAAGGATAAATTGATCCAATCCCATTGTATGGATAACATTGATCGGGTGTACCAAGAAGCTTTATTCACCAGTAACACTAACCCAAGACTGAATGTTTGTGTAATATTATTTTAACTTACCTTATATATTTTTCCCGTGAGAAAACACAACAAAGGCTGTGTTGACATATCATTAAATGTGCAACTATACTCTGAAAATAATGTTGTAACTAGTCATCCCAGCACACTCACCTGCTCTACAATTACCAAATGTGATACAACACCAATCATGATTTTTATATAATTGAACATATAACAGTGTAAGCCTGAAAGCAAAACAAAAAACTAACCGGGCGCAACCGGTATTTAATTGTAAATAGTAATGCCAATGCGAATCTAATATTGTACCAGCATTGTGTTTCTCACTCGCAGTCTCACAAGAAACATAATTCAATCTCAGTACTCAAGAAAACAGGCAACAACACCCAGTCTATTGCTTATGTGGTGGAGAGACTTTAGCTGTCATCAGAGTGACGTGTGTGATACTGTACAGTATATGAGACTCACAAACTTGTGTTTTAGAAACCTGCCCGCAAATATTTTTATAGTACTTTATAGAAACCTACCCACAAACATCTTATGAACCAGTGTGACTGGTTCATAAGAATCATTATGACTGGTGTGGCATGTAGACTGGTTCATTAGAATCATTATGACTGGTGTGGTATGTAGACTGGTTCATTAGAATCATTATGACTGGTGTGGTATGTAGACTGGTTCATTAGAATCATTATGACTGGTGTGGTATGTAGACTGGTTCATAAGCATCATTATGACTGGTGTGGTATGTAGACTGGTTCATAAGCATCATTATGACTGGTGTGGTATGTAGACTGGTTCATTAGAATAATTATGACTGGTGTGGTATGTAGACTGGTTCATAAGCATCATTATGACTGGTGTGGTATGTAGACTGGTTCATTAGAATAATTATGACTGGTGTGGTATGTAGACTGGTTCATAAGCATCATTATGACTGGTGTGGTATGTAGACTGGTTCATAAGCATCATTATGACTGGTGTGGTATGTAGACTGGTTCATTAGAATAATTATGACTGGTGTGGTATGTAGACTGGTTCATAAGCATCATTATGACTGGTGTGGTATGTAGACTGGTTCATTAGAATCATTATGACTGGTGTGGTATGTAGACTGGTTCATTAGAATCATTATGACTGGTGTGGTATGTAGACTGGTTCATTAGAATCATTATGACTGGTGTGGTATGTAGACTGGTTCATTAGAATCATTATGACTGGTGTGGTATGTAGACTGGTTCATTAGAATCATTATGACTGGTGTGGTATGTAGACTGGTTCATTAGAATCATTATGACTGGTGTGGTATGTAGACTGGTTCATAAGCATCATTATGACTGGTGTGGTATGTAGACTGGTTCATTAGAATAATTATGACTGGTGTGGTATGTAGACTGGTTCATAAGCATCATTATGACTGGTGTGGTATGTAGACTGGTTCATTAGAATCATTATGACTGGTTCATAAGCATCATTATGACTCTACTGTGGAGAGAAACAATTCAGGGAAAACTGATAATCTTCAGACGAAAGAGAATCGACACTTTTACTGAAGGAATGCTGATGGTTTCATGACGAAATAGTCTTTCTAGTAAATAAATATGAAAAGGAATAACCTCTATAGCTGTCAGTGCGTCGAACAGTTGTGGGTGAGCTGCGTTTTTTGTTGAATAGTCGAGGTAAGATCTGCAACACAGTGGTAGAAAAGACCCAAGACACTCATTAACTCTCTCGTCTTGTCGGAGGGAAAAGTTATAATGGCAAGAAAGTCTACGATGATGCAATTCAAGAAGTGTTAGCAATTTGATTCGCACATTTTTCCTCACTTACGGCCGGGTTCTCTTCGGGTTCATACTACATCACAGAAAGTATATACATTGTGCTGGTATATATAAAATTACCAAGCTTGTGTTTATAAGTGAAGTAACCCGGGGAAGCCTTTGTCATATTCTGAGATTATGTTTTTGTATAAATGGTTGGGATATTATTTGCTGACACAGGAGGTAACACATGTGATATGCGTCAATTCAGTAACTGAATGTAACAATATTTTAACGTACAAATGTATGCCTGTGTGAATAAAAACCGTACACAAACTCCTGTGTTTTTTATACGGAGTGATTTTAATTGTGAGACGAGCAGTAATTCATGAATTTTAATTATCACAAGCCCTTCATTATTATCATCTAAAAAATATAATTATACTGTACATTAAAGTATACTCTACGACCTTTCCTCTTTGGATATTAAATTAAATTTTAATCTATCTTATCTTAAGCTAAGCAGATGACTTACAAACGTGTCTTTAGGTTGGTCATCATTCATCTAAAAAATGTCAAAGGTCGATCATCACACTTGATTCTTGAAGACCAATTTACGATCACCAAGACACATCCAAATACTTGTTTTCAGTAAAGAATATACATACTGTTGTGGCGAGCTGAACATTATGAAATTTCATTGCAAAAAAAAAAAATTGTAAAATGTGATAAACAGTTGCTAATGCCGAGCTAATGTATCAGGAAATATATATTTACGGTTTTTGAAATTCTATGAAATTCTGTGCCTCTCAGCATATGTCTGCTTGGTCTTCTCAGTTTCGTTGGTATACGTGGTAAAGCAAAGGCTGTAGACTCCTTACAACTTTGCCATCAGGACTGTCTTTCCATATCCCGAAGCGTGTAAACCGACATCCAACTCTGTAGTATTCTAATTGCAAGCTACACAATCACAGATATGACTAAAACAATGACAACAACTCTGGAGAGAAGATAAAATTGTTGTAAGGTCGGCCTCACTGCCAATTATAACATTATCAATAAGGTTTCCACCAAATTGATAGTCGGTACCTTTGAATGTCAGTGTGTTAAAGCTGCGAGGCTCCATAAAAACACTAGTTTCTGTTTTTAATATTCCTTCATATGGTAACATTAATAATAAAACATTTAATTCATTTCCTTATGATTATTTGTCTAAAATATGTCCTCTTCAATAATGAATAATTACAACGAATTTTTCTCAATAGATATACCCAAAATTTAGCAAATTCAATTACAAATTTAAATTGTATTAACATTACTTAGCACAGGCTATTTACGGGGGCCTAATGAAATGAAATTAAATTAATTCTAAGTCTTCGCTTTTGATTGGTCGTTCAAATTCATCAGTAAATGAAAGACGTGAATTAATATATTTTACTGTACGGTACATAACACCCGGAATAAAAAAAATGCGAGTTCAACCTTGATTCCACCTTAGAAATATCCTGCCCCGAGGCACCGTTCAGTATAGTTACTGAAGTCCAGTGATAATACATTTAGTATTTTTATTAAGTGTAACTATGAAGTAATAAAAAGCAGCAGTAGACGATTGACATTATGCTCTTCAAAACAAATGAAAATCATAAATAAACGTTGGAGATCTCACACAGGCAGCCCAAACCTGAAAAAATAAACATAAGATATTTTAATAAGTAATTTAAAGGATATGTTATTACCATACACAGTATTTCTGCACTTCAATTTAAGAACACCATCCTTCATAAGATGATTAACACAATCTGCGTATATCTATTGAAAATTTATAATCATTGAATCTTATATTGTATATAGTGTATGTTATATTTTTCTTAATTTTATCCCTTTTCTACTGATTATGACAACCAAACACTATATATTCTTTGAGAATTTGATGACAACAGTAACTTTCTCTCATGTTGATGTCATGAAGAATTAAAGGTGGAGAAATTTGCACACAGCACGAAATTGGTGACGTCACGGTAGTTCTCTGAACGTATTTTTTCAATACCTAACGCCGTGGATAAATCAAATTACAAGATAATATTTCATATTATTGTACAAAGTACGCGTGTAGAAAAACACTAAACAAAATAAGATTATACTAATAGAACATATTGATTCACAATCTCCTTATTTCTTCCTTCATCGTCTGGCAGAACAATGTTTACACTTGGTCGGTGGGCGGGAGATTAGCTGTTTTAAGCGTAAGGAAGTGTTTAACCTAGTTTCTACGTGCTTTACTTATCGTATCTAAGGAAGAATGTATGCTTGATAAAATAACTGTACACTTGAATTGTATATGTACATTATACTGAAGATATTAAGTGCTTGAAATGATAGGGCGAAAACTCTTTCAACATGTAACACTCGTCAACTGCCTGCAGGAGATGGCACCCGTCTGGTAAGTACACACTGCTATTAGATTAATTTTACTATACATTCATTTTCTAAATACACATCCTTAACGTATGGTGGTTATTGACCACCATAAGTTAAGTTAAATGTTAACTTAATATTTGTCCATTGGCTGTCCGCAGATTCCCGTCATGTTTACCTGAGGTTTGACTCTTCACTTTAGTCAGTTGTCTCCTTCTTACCTCCTTCTCCTTGCAGGTTAGGTAGGTTGGTTGGTTCCTTTGGTATGAGATTAGTGTTTTTTTGTGTGTATTTTTGGTGTGTTTTACTCAAATTTGACCTCCATTTTTGTGCAAATTAGCATTTTCTGTTAAAAATGAAAATGTATTTTATTTTTGCAAAAACCGCTAACTTACAAAATAAATTAATGTCAGATTTGAGTAAAACACACTGAAAACGTAAAGAAAAAAAATATCATCGTACCCTGAGGACAGCCAATGGACGAATATTTACCCTTATGGTAAACAAGTGTCCAAGTAACAACCCGTTTAGGCAAGAATCTGTCTGCAGCGTTGAGGAATAATGCCCCATTCAAGGAGGAATTTTCAACAATCCCGAAGGTGATTTTTATATCTGCATTAAAAAATAAAATTAATAATGCGAGACAATTTCTGTAATGCCTCGGAAACTGTATAATTGGGCTGGATTGTTACAATGAACTTTTACGTGCGACAACTGCAACTGAAAGCAAGAGATAGCCTAGTCCTTTTTTTCAGTTTTATTTGTTTAGTAAGTTTTGATATTTAGAACGTTTATTTATAGGTACCAAACATTTCACTGGGCAGTCATTAACATTATGATGTCTTCTGATGTGTTTAAGCCTTGAACATAAAATACTGGATGTAGGTCTTCATTAATAAAATTTGGATGGCATATATTTTCAGATGTCTCAAAATCGGGTTAGGTTAGATAGAAATTGCTGTTAAAGTTTGGTTTGGCTAAGGTTTGATAATGTTAGATTGAGTTGAACTAAGGTTGAGTTGAATTAGGTATTGGTCAAATTAAAGCAAGTTAAGATTAGATTAATTTCGGGTACGGTTTAAGTTACGAGCGAGGAGATGATGTTACCGGGGTCCAGCAGAATATTATCACTGTCTAACTTAACCAAGCGGTCTTGGATTAGTTTGTATAAGGTTTGTTTAGTTAGGTTGGTTATTTCATAGTCTACTGCTACAGTATCTGAAATAAACAGGTGTCAACTAACACAGCGTTCTCCATCAAGCAGCCCAGCTGATGGAGTGTTAAATGTAAATTTAACTTTACTGCATGTAGAGAATAATGAAAAAGATCGTTGAACTATTTTCCTTATGCGTTTAACTAGAATACTATGCATTAACCAGGTATTTTCTTACCCTTCAGGCATGTTGCACAGTTCATCTTTTTGGTGATGCTTAATGGTCAAGTTTTTAACCACCGATGCAGATGAGCTAGAGTTTCTTTTATTCAGAATTACAGAAGCGAAAGGTTCACTGGTCGACTGTTCTGACACAAGATTATGCCGTCAACTCCCATGACGAACCAGGAGTGTTAATGTGTACACGTCACGCTAAAATAGTTTAGTTACTGCTCGCTGATGACTGTCATGATGGTAGTGCAGACATTTAGTATTTACACTTGCTTTTTGGCTTATATTCACGCGTCGTAACAAACCCAGATAATTTATGTACAGATTCGCTTTTAATTGTGATGAAATGTGTATGTGCTCAGTAACTATTTTACATATGTATTTATTGGAACGATAAAATTTACTTACATAAAAGCACATACAACCTTATCTTTGTAGATGTAAAGAAAATTACACTAGAAAGGAAAAAATCAGAATCTTACAGGTAGATTTTATTTTTTCACCAATAGTGTATTTACCTATCAAGACCTCAGTAGTAAGTGCATAGTAATACATTACAAGTAATGTTATTACAAGTCAGTAAATATTTGTACAGTAGTAACAACGTTCTCACGATTTTTTGCAATAAGGATTTTATACACGTGCTTTGAGTCAAAATCAACATTACTCATTCACTCCAACAAAAGAAAAAAAATGAAAATATAATTCTGAATATAGGTACATGTATATATAAAATAAAGTGTAAACAGTCACTTTTTCCTCCTATTCGCCAGAAGAGTACGGTCAGTATATTCACCCAGAAAAATAAACGGGTCCAGATCTAAAGTCATATGGTACGTTCTTTTTTGTCTCCAGACTTTGAGTAAGAGCACTTACAGTACATTATTACCTAGTTACTCTGGTCTCAGTCATTAAGATGCCATTTTTACCGTCGTCTTTTTTTTATTGTGAAGTATATACCTTTTCACACTGCCAGCTAAATAAAAAACAAATACCGTCACGAATTCGAGACAATCTACGCCATGACTTGACAGTGTGGTGCAGTTGTCTCCTAGCGATTTAGAGGATACTCGTTGGATCTCTACCACCACCACCTCCCTTATACTGAGTTATACCCCGCCCCACAAAGTACTGTACACGGTGGTTGGCTCTTCAGGTCATGTCTTCCCTTAACTAAACTGTCTCTCTATATATACAAAGTTGGACTAGTGTTATGAATGTAATAGTGGTCACATAGCGACGCTTAACTGTGTGCGCCTGATTATAGCCAAGGTAAAAAAGACAAACTCATAATTTATTCATTCGCACGTGTATTGACGTCAAGGTTAAATTACGTTTAATTAGGTTAGAACACAAATATGCTTAATTTATGACATTACTTAATTATGTACATTATTATATTCCTTACGCCTTGATGTATTAAGATTAGATTAAATTCAAACAAAATCCCTTAGAAGATATTTACAATTGTACTAAGATCATATTATTTTGATCCAGAACTGTCTCGGTGTCTCTCACACTAATACAATAGGAGAGA